GCTACTCTTCACCAGTGCCTGCTCAGCAGCTCCCACCAGCCCAGATACCAGAAGGTTCCTGGGATGTGTGGATCTGCTCCTCATCCCAGAGCACCTCCCACCTCCCTCTTCCCCTCTGGGGGCTCTGATGGGAAAGCAAAAGAGGAATGAGACTGACCAGAAACCCCATCACAATTTGTGGCCCCTCCATGGGTGGCACCTAAGGATGGCAAATCTCTACCTTGGCCAATCCCAACTCTGAGAGAAACCAGGTTGGTGAGTATAATAAGGATAAGAGAAAGGCGACCCTGCATCAATGCTGGAGAGGAGCTGGGGATGAGGATTAGGCAAGGGAGACAGAAAGACAGGATCCCAGCAAGTTTGAAACTTGAACTATGGAACATGCTAGGCTCTTGGGGATCAGGAAATGGGGTACCTTTGGCCTCTGAGTCCAGAGATGGAGTGCCAGCCTCTCGCTGCTCTCCGGAGTCCACAGACACGCTCCGCTCCCTCTTCACTTTGCCCTTGAGTGAGCTGAAAGGGGGCACCCCCGCCTGGGTGTTCTTCAGACTTGAGTTGCTAGGTGAGATCTGGTTGGCCTTGGCCCCATGGTTCCCCGCCCCCACGCCCTTCGAGCCCAGGTTGCAAGTGGGTCCTTGGTTCACATTCTGGTGCTGGGATTGGGCCCCGCCATTCCCTGTCTTGCCATGATTGGTCAACTTATTTTCTGGGTGCATTGGCTTGGTTGGGGCAGGGGGGCAGTGGCCGCGGGGGGACAGTGGAGGGCTCCCTGGAGTTTCTCTCCTCCTGGGGTGGGGTAACCTGGGAGAAGGTGGGAGAGACATAAAAGTTAATCTTGCTAGGGACTTAGCATGCCTGGATTTTAACTGCCCCATCCTATCTCATCTAATGGTACAGGAGGTGGGAACTGAGTGGCATTCTAGGACCACCAGCTATTCCCTACCGCCTTCCATGGCTCCTCAGACAAGGACTGATACCCTTCACCTTGGGGAGTGAAGATGGGCAACTCCTTCACCTCCAGGCCCCACAATTCAAATGAAAACCAGGGCCTTTCGTTTGCAGAATCAACCAACACCCCCAGCCCCAGCAACCATCAGGCTGAACCTCCATGGCAACCACCCCCCAACACACGCACACACACTAGCACCTGACCAACACTTAAGCATCCTCTCTTCTAGGGTCTTCAGATTCCTTCCAAGTTCCCAAACCTCAACTTCCATGTGTCCCAACACCAGCAGGGAAGGGGCAGAGGACCAGAGGGTCACTGCTCATGCCCCAGTCCCATTCCCCTGGGGAAGTAGGGAAAAGCACACCAGAGTGGTACCCACTGGTCCAGACAGCTCCCCAGAGCAGAAGGAGGACTGCCTGAAGAGGTTTGGCCAGGACCTGGCCGGCGGGCAGGAGCAGAAGAAAAGGGGGAGGGGAGTGGTGTGCGGAGAAGACTGGAGCACTGGAAGCCAAGGATTCCTGCCGCCTAAGCTGCAGGCCCTTTAAGATCCAGCCCGCTCCCCACACCGCCTCCCCCTCCCCGGAGACCTATTAATAGCCTCTGGAAAGATCACATCACGGGAGAGGATATTTATCCCCCCTCATTCCACACCAGCTCAGATTTATTTCAGCTCTGCTGTCCTGCCGCTGCCGCCTGGCCCTGTCTGCAGGCTTCTCCTGGGGAAGGGGAGGGAGGCAGGCACTGCCCTACCCTCCAGCTCCCATCCCCAGCTAAACTAAGGCCAGAGGGTGCCACTGGATCCCACAGTGGGGTGGGAGGGTTGGGGTTCTGCTCAAACCTTTTTTAAGAGGAAAGGTCTAGAAGGGACTAGAACAGCAGGCTTACCTGACTGCCCTCCCCTGCTGTCTCCTGCACCCAGGCACTAGGCTGTGGGCTCCTGCCTCAGGGCAGTCCTTCCCATTCTGACCCCTTGAGCCCACTGATGGCCTGGAAGCCAAGTGCCTAGAAAGTCTCCCTCTCCAAGCCAGCACAGTTCAGCCCCGTCACCACTGGGCCCTTCCCTTCCCCGCACTCCACACACACAGCCCACCCTCCACGACACCCACACACCTTGTCTTGTTAGCCAGGATCCTCATGGCTCCCACACACAGTGGGGCTACGGCCCCTGTGCGTGCCCAGGGCCCAGCCAGGTACTCGGTACTGGAGCACGGACTGCAGCAACAAGCCCCAAAGAGAAAACTTGTGACTTGGGGAGGGGGTGTAAGAAGGGGAGGGGAGAAGGGAGGACCCAACAGCCCTGAGACTAGGGAACTGGATAGGGTACAGAGGGGATGGAAAAGAAGGACTACTAGGTGGGGACTCAATCTTAGAGGCCGGTCCTTTCCTGGCTTTCCCACACTTTACCCTCAGGAAGCTTGCAGTCTCTAGCAAGCCCACCCCCCCACCTCGGGCCCCGCAGAGGCAGAATGCACTAAAAGGATAGGTTAGTTGCAAAGGTGCCCCTGCGGGGCGGGCCTTGAGGTCTGTTCTGGCCCCCTGGGGGACTCCCGCTCCCAGGCACGCCCCTCACCCAGGGTGGGGAATCCTTCACGCCCCACCCCC